TGTTGTTTTTGCTCTTCCTTAGGTAATATTTTAATTAATGTCATGCTCAGTGGATTTCAACCAGTTTCAGTGAAAGTCAGTTTATCTTTCAAATATTTACAGGAAAGGATCCTGCAGTAATTGGAGGGAATATAGTTACCATGTTTTCTCACGAAAGATGTAAGATAAAATCTGGAGATATAAGTAAATGTTGGTGCTTCAAACAGGCAGAAAACGGGAATGAAATTTTTTTTGTAGGCCATTTCATCTGTGAGAAAGCACTCGAAAAATCACGAGCCTCACCACCACATGGTGCACAGAGGGACCCAGGATGCGCTTGTGTGGATGAGATAACTGGATCCATTGTGTCTCCCAGCAGCACTGACAATTACATAGTTTCTCTGCCTACTTTCTTCACAGACTGTTAAAGTTCTAAGCCCAGAGTCCAAGGTCATGGACAACAGTGAGGCCTGGTTTTGTTTTCTTAAGCGCTCAGTATTCACATTTGTATGAGTCTATATATAAGGCCATTGGCCCCAATGACAAGCTGAGGGGGTATGGCTCTTGTAGGGTCAAGGTTAGCCTGAGCTGTAATCAAGATGAGTGGTTTGAGACTGGTATGTACCAATGCTTGTGGGAGTTTGGAAAAAGGATGGGGTAGGGGTAGGGATGAGAGCACAGGCAGTGGATGAGTGACAGCTGTGAACAGAGCCAAATTAGCATCTGCCCAACCCACAGTCAGGTGATAGCATTTTCAAATGCAAAAGAACTGATAGACTATACTTCTCATATATTTTAAGTATTAGGGTTCTAAATTATCTTTTGTAGGCCAAAAAAGGTATTTAAAATAAAACTGAAAATCAGCCACCAAAAGTTTCAGTTTAGGAAAAAGCTTTTTCAAGGGTCAGAGGGATGTAGGTTTGGAGAATCTGCTTGGGTCCCTGAACCAGACACCTGACTGATGAGGAAGAACTGAAATCAGGCTCACGGAGAAGAGAAACATGGAAGAGTGGAGTTGCTTTCTCTTTGAAGGTCTTTGACCTTTTCCTGTTGAAATAATCTGAGACTGTCCATAAAGGAGAACATACTGCAGTGCTTTGTCTACACATTGTGCAGACACTAGAGTGGATTTCTTATTAAACAGGCATTTTCCCATCAGACAAACTGATGACTGCTGCTGTGAACTTTGTAAGAAACTCAAGAAAAGAAAGCAGGACCCTGTGACGGCCAGGCCATTTGCTTTAGACTAAGAGCCCTTCACTGAAGGCATGGCTCTCTAGCTGATTCCCCACCCAGTTCTGCGGCTCAAGGACCAGTGTTTCCCTTTCTCTGGAGGCCCTGTGCTCATAAATATCACCTCAGCACATAGATTCCATGACTTTATCCCACCTATGCAGTTTATGATTTTGACTGTGCTTCTAAGTGCTGTCATGGAATCCCCAAGCACGAGACCTGGTGTGATATCACTCCTTCTTAGCAGCTGAAGACAGCAGAGCCAGACGTAAGCTTACAATGGGCATATTTCATGTACGATCCAAGTGCAAATAAGAGGCTTCTTTATTTCTTAACTTAGTTGTTTAGAGACAGGATCTCACTGTGCAACCCAGGCTGACCTCAATCTTCTGTTTCCACTTCCTGAGTGCTGAGCTTATAGCTGTGTATCACCATGTCTGGCCCAAGAGGCTTTTAAATAAATATTTCAGTTATACCAATAATATTCTTCGATTTGTATAAGATTCAGTAGATATGTTTTTCACAGTTCAGTATTGGAGACTCCAAAAATGTTTCTGACACTTAATGAATGCTTCTTTATTCATTCATTCGGTTTGCTGATGAGCTTTGCTCTCTATGCTTGAGACATCAGGCTAACTTACAAACTATAACTACATGAATGACAGCCAGGGCTGCTTTGTTATGTGTGATTTAAATATAATATATAGCAAATGAAATAAATATTAACAATATCTTTTTCTGCCTTTGTAGTTTAAAGGGCAATGTTTTCATGTAAAAATAAATTCCATTTAAAATGTATTTGGACTGTAGTTTATTTCAGAACTAGAATAGATTAATTCACACTTAAAATAACATTTATTTTATTTGTAAAAAGTAAATTCATACAATATTTAATATCTTAATATAAAATAATTTATGCATTATTTTATATGCATACATTAACTTTCTCCTGCTCCTGCTTATCAAATATTCAACTTCTTTATTTCTTCTCTTCTTTCCTTCTCTTTGTCTCTCTCTTTCTCTCTCTGTGATGGTTTGAATGAAAATGTCCCCCATGGGCTCCAAGTATTTGGACATTTTGTCCCCACATTGCAGCACTGTTTTAGGAGGTTTTAGAAGGTGCAGCTATCCTGGAGGAAGCACATCACTGGGGGGTGGGCTTAGAGAGTTCTTAAGCCTTGCCAGATCTCCAGTTGCTCTCTTGTTTCCTGTGCCTGTGATGATGTGAGAGCTTAGCTTCTGCTGCTCCTGCTCCAGCCACCTCCAGCCACCATGCCTCCCTGCCACGACAAACTGTAATTCCCCTGGAACCATAAGCTCAAATAAACTCTTCCTTCTATAAATTACTTGGGTCAATGTTTCTATCACAGCAACAGAAAAGTGACTAATACAGTAATTAGTAATTGGTACCAGAGAGTGGGCTGTTGACTGTGAAGAGCCTGACCATGTGGAGTTTTGAAGAAATGTGGAAGACTTTGGACGTTTGGTCTAGAAAAGCAGATGATGGCTCTAAGTGGAGCTTAACAGGCCATTCTAGTAAACACCTGGAAGAGGGAAATAAGGACTTAAGCAGCAATTGGGATATTTTGGCAGAGTATGGCTGGAGTCTGCCCACAGCCAAAAAGCTTGCCTGAGGCTTAGTTGAAAAGCCATGGACTAATTTCTCTGGTGGAAGAAATTTCAAGACAGCATAACGTAGAAATGGTTGCGTGGCTGGTGAATATTATCCAGATTTACAGTGAAAAAGAGTAAATGGGGCAGAAAGAAATACAGAATGTACAGGATGGGTTGAAAAAGAGCACTAGGAAGATTAATGTTGGAGGCATGGTATGTGATGGAGAGGATCCCATTGATAAGGAGATTAAAGTGATTAAGGAGATTAAAGTGATTAGGGAGGGGCCTAGATATTCAGACTTAAACAATGGAGAGAATGCCTCCAGGGCAAGACCACACCCAGTTAAGCCTCCAACTTGTGAAAGGAAAATGCTACAGGGACCACTGAAGAGAAAAGCTTCTAAAATGGATAAAGCAGTCAAACTTGGCATTGTTGTTTACCTGGTGCTGGCTTTAGAGGCATGAAAGATGCAAGAGTGAAGGGGCCATCAGTTCTTCCTCCATGGTTTCAGAGAGCCACTGAGGCCAGGCAGAGTGCATCAGGGGTGCCTCTGCATAGAGAAGGCCCTGATAGGCCATTGCATGAAGCTGTGAAGGTGAAGCCTGGTTGGCAATGGAGACCCCAAGAAGATGTTCATGATGCCAGGGCTGTGAGGCATCTACCAAGAAGACCTGCATACAGGGAGTGGTACTAACCCAAGAGAGAGATGTGTGTTGCATGCAGCAAAGCTGGAGAGGCTGAGCCATCTAAGCCCTTAGGAAGTAAAGTCCCAGAAGTCAGACGTGGACTTACTGGATTTGGTGTTTGTCCTGCTGGTTTTCAGTCTTGTTTTGGTGCGGTATTTCCTTACTATGCCTCCATTCCTCCCTTTTGGAATGGTAATGTGTATTCAGTTCCATTGTATGTTGGGAGTATGTAATTTGTCTTTTGATTTTACAGGGGCTCACAGTTATTTCACTGAGCCTCAGAAGAGACTTTGGACTGTGGACCTTGGAATACTAATGAGATTGATAATGATTTGGGGGACTTTTAAAGTCGGACTAAACTCATTTTTCATTTTATATGGTCATGAGCCTATGGGGGCCAGGGTGTGGAATGTGATAGTTTGAATGAAAATGTCCCCCATAGGCTCCAAGTGTTTGGACATTTTGTCCCCAGATGATGGTGCTGTTTTGGGAGGTTTTAGAAGGTGTGGCTATCCTGGAGGAAGCATGTCACTGGGGGTGGGCTTAGAGAGTTCTTAAGCCTTGCCAGATCTCCAGGCGTTCTTTTGCTTCCTGTGCCTGCGTGATGGTGTGAGAGCTTCACTTCAGCTGCTCCTGCTCCAGCCACCTCCAGCCACCATGCCTCCCTGCCACAACAGACTGTAATTCCCCTGGAACTGTAAGCTCAAATAAACTCTCCCTTCTGTAGATTGCTTGGGTCAGTGTTTCAATCACTACAACAGAAAAGTAACTAATTCTCTCTCTCTCTCTCTCTCTCTCTCTCGGTCCCACCATATTGCCTAGGCTGGTCTCAAATTTGTGAGTTGATGTGATCCTCCTGCATCACCTTCCAAAACTGTACTGACACAGATAATGATTTTCAATTTCCATTGTTATTTAACAGATTTGACTATATCACTTCAGTTTTGTTTTGTTTTTTATTACCCACCTGCATAATAGGAAAACGTTCTCTTATTCTGGTCAAAAACAAACCAACGTTTTTTCCATGTTTTAATTTTCCACCCATTTTGATGAGGTATCCTCAGCAGGTCTTCTCTGTGATTGGTATGTGAAAACAGGTGTCAGTGTTGTGACCAGCAGTTTCTATGTGGCTCTGCAAATCAAAGTCTTCCTTCCAAACAGGCAGATATCATGTCAGAAGACGAGCCTGGAAAACTGCAAAACCCATTCCATCTATAGTTAACTGCTTCATTTTGGTTTGCATATGTTTATATATAGGAAGGAAGTATAAAACCTAGGCTTTAAGATGCCCTGGAATTACAAGAACTTATGATAAAAAGGCACTTATCAACTGGAGACTAAAAAGCAGGTATTACTTTAAGTAGGAATCTACAATATCAGGAGGTAAATTCATAAACCAGGCTTACAGATTCTATTCCTTAAGATGGATGGATGGGAGAATGGAAAAACATCATTAATGCAGTGTGAAAGAAGTCCTCAGCCCATAACCCACACAGGGAAATGAAGCATGGAGCAATCCCAATGATCTTTTTTTTTTCATTTCTTTTCTTTAAGTAGGAATCTACAATATCAGGAGGTAAATTCATAAACCAGGCTTACAGATTCTATTCCTTAAGATGGATGGATGGGAGAAAGGAAAAACATCATTAATGCAGTGTGAAAGAAGTCCTCAGCCCATAACCCACACAGGGAAATGAAGCATGGAGCAATCCCAATGATCTTTTTTTTTTCATTTCTTTTATTTTTTTTTAATTAAAAGAAGCATTTCATTACAACAGTATTAACCTATTCAATAACATTTTTCTGAGCTAGGGTACATCTCTTTCAAAATTGGGTGTACATTTTTAGGTTTACAGAGGAATTATTACGCTTGTACAATCTTTTACTGATTATAAACTCTACAAGACATAAAATTAAATGAGGTTTTAATGTTTAGAAAAGATCTCCACTTCGTTGTTAAAATACAGTTTCATACAGAAAAATTCATTTTAAGGCAACTGACATTGAGACGTTTTCACATGCATTTCTAATCTCTATATATATGACTATTACTGGTCACAGTCACTTACTTTCTGAGTTCCGTGGCATCTGAGTATGAATATAAACTCGTCAGATAAACAGCCTTCTTCTCCCTCTAGAGCCTCCATACTCTGTCATCCCTGCCAATGTCCACTGTGTTGTCAGGACCCCCATCTATTGCCCCCATCTGTCCTTCTGATAAATCTAGTCAGCCAGAGGTCCCTGTTCCAGGAGGATCAGCTGTTCCTCATCTACAGCAATCCATTGTCAGTATTCCTTTGGATAGAATTGGGG